GGCTTTACAAGTTCCTCAGGTGGCAGCCTGACCTGGGAGCAGCCTGATTTTCTGGACCACAACTGTTTAGTTGCAATCCTTCAGTTAAACTGCATACAAGTCTGAGACCTACAGCTCAAATCGCTCCCAACAATGTAATATCCTTCTTTGTCTCTTATGCTAGTTTTTGCCTTAGAATCTTTATCAGAACTCAATATTGCCACTTCTGCTCATTTTTGATTGCCAGTTGCTTCATAGATTTTTCCACACTTGGAATTTTAGTCTATTTTTGTCTTTGCTGTAAGGTGGGTCTCTTGTATTCAGCATATTGAAGAAGTTTGTTTTCTTATCCATTCTGTCATTTTTTGTCTCTTGATTGGTGTATTTAATTGATTTACACACCATGTAATTAATTATTGATAGGTATGAATTGATTGTGCCATATGATATTTGTGTGTGGTGCTGTTGGTTTCCTTGTTTCTCATAATTTTCTGTGTTGAGTTCATTTTGTGGGTTTTCTTGCATTTTTATAATTTCTATTGTTTTAATATTCACTAAATCTGGTTTTTTCTCTTATTTTCATGTGAAGGTGTACTAATTTCTTTGAGGTTGCCCTGTAATTTATTAATTTCTTTCCCAATTTAAAAGTCTGTTTTATCTTGAAATCTACTGGACTTTCTCACCATTTGGAAGTTTTGTAACTACACTACTCCTTCTGTCCCGTTTGTAGTTGTCTCATTATAAATTGGTATCTCTGGTTCCCTATTTCCAGTTGTATAGGTCTGTTTTCCTTTGAATACTTTTCTGTCTGGGTTGAGTACTGGGTGGTGTTATCATGTAGGTTAAACTCAGATTGTTGTATGCTGTTGTTAGTTCTCTGTCCAAAGAACATCCTTTGGTAATTTTTTGTAAAGTTGATCTAGTTATTACAAATTCCTCAAATTTCTGTTTACCTGGAAATGTCTTAATTTCACCATCATGTTTGAGGGACAGCTTTGCTGGGTATATGATTTTTGGTTGGTAATTTTCTTTCAGAGTTTTGTATATATGATCCCATTGCCTTTCTGCCTGCATGGCTTCTGCTGATAAATTAGAGCTTATTCTTATTGGGTCTCCTTTGTGGGTAACTTTTCATTTTTCCTAAGCTGCTCTCAGGATTCCTTCCCTTGTTTTTGGTTTTGAGAAGTTTGATTATGATATGTTTGGTTACTTTCTTTTGGGGCCTATCCTGTCTGGAGTTTGTTCAGCTTTCTGAATGCTTATCTTCTCATCTTCCAATATGTTTTGGAAGTTTTCTTCCAATAGCTCTTTGACAATTTTCTATGTGTTTTTATGATCTCTTCCTGCTCTGGAATTCTGATCACCTATAAGTTATTCCTTTTCATGAAGTCCCACAAAAATCTAGGCTTTCTTCTGATTTTTTCCTTCTTTCTCTGATTATTCTTCTAGCATACTACTTTTGAGAAATTTCTCTTCAAGCTTACTAATTATGACTTCCATTGATTCAAATCTACTCCTGCTCTTTTGGTGTTTTCTTCTTCTTCTTCCCTTTCAGAAATATTAGTGGTAATCTTCTGGATATCTATTTGCTTGTTTTATAGTTTTTCATTTATTTTACCCATTTATTCTTGTAGGGTTTTCCTGAATTCTTCTAAAATTATTTGTGTTCTTCTTGCTTTCTTCGATCATTTTCTCAACCCATTGAATGTAACTAAATAGCATTATTTTGAATTCTTTCTAAGGCAGTTCCATGGTCTTTTCTTCCACAGAAATATTTGTGACTCTACATGTTGGTTACCTGTTTGACCCATTTTGTGTGAACTGAAATTGCCTGTTGTGTTCAAGACATTATTGTTGTTGTTGTTACATTTATATTTAACTGATGATTGTTGGTGTATTCTTAAAGTCTCACCAATTGCCTCCTGCTGGGTGTGATTAGAAAATGGAAGTATGTTGTGTACAGTGCTCTGTTTGCTGTTCATGAGGCTCAGCTTAGGGTAGGTTTGGCTGGTGTTGGCTTCTGTCTATAATTGCGCAAGTGTAATAGAAGCTGGCATTAGCTAAAGTCCAGTGGGTGGGGCTGAAAAGGGTGCAGTTGTGTCTGTGCTATATGGGCACACACACACAAACACACAACAAAACAAAAGAAAGCAACTAAGAAAACAACAGCAATAATAATAATAAAGGAGAAAAAAGATAAGACAGCAAAAAGACAAAAGAATGTAATAACTAAACAGAAAAAAAGAGTGATATGAAACTAAAACTGTAGAGGAGAAAAATACACTAAACAAAACTAAAGGAAGGAATATTTTCTCTGTCCGATTTTCTGAATAAAACACCTGCTGTTTTCCAGGCTCTTTGGAAAACGGATTGTATACTTCCTGAAATATTTCAGTGCCATGGGACTGCAGATAAGTTAATGCTACATTCATGAAGTGAAAAGACAAACTCACTGTTAAGTCTCTAGGAAGAAGCACAGAGTTTCATACTGTGTTCACTGTGACCGAGGCAAAACTGAACTAGAAAACTTTGTCAGGGATTCTTAATCAGCTTTGAGGAGACATGGATAGGCAAAATGAATGAAGCAAGATTGATTGAATATATATGTAATGCCTTTGAGGAATATGATTTTTACTGCCAAATTGTAATTTGATCAATGAGCATTAAGTATTAAACAAATACATAATTTAAAAAATTTATTGAAGACAGCATAATTAGGATTTGACAATGGATTAATTAATTAATTAATTTTTTAATGTTTTATTGTGAATTATGTGATAGTTTACATGGGAGAACATCAGTCTTACATTCATTCTATCGTATTCGTCTCATTGCCATGGTTACAATCCCCTCCATGCAATCCTTCCCCGTACCCCCCAGGTCTTCAGCACACAGTTGCTTTCCCTCTCTGGATCTAAAGTCTCCAGCTGCCCCATCATTCCACGTCATCATCTCTGGTTCCATTTCAGGCATCACTGCTTCTCTGGGTAGGGTCCCGCTCTCTGCTCTTCTCCCTTGATGGTCCTAGGGACCTCCGCTCCTAGACTGAAAAGTTAATCACTCCCCTCCTTGCTATAAAACATCCACCTTTACACTTCCGACCCTCACAAACTGTTCTGATAACAATTATTCACTATTGTATCACAAGAGACCTGTCTGCATTTCATTGCATCAGCCCCGCCTAGACAGATTGAATACAACTCACTGGAGATTCTAACTTCCTCCAGGCCCTCTGGATCTAGGTTCCCTCTTGAAAGCTTGTAAGCCAGTCACTTCTTGCCTTTGTAGCCCCCCACCCCCCATTTTGGGTAGCCAATGTCCAAGTTGCCTAACAATGGATTAATTTATTGCAGGGAGATTCTGGACTGGTTGAAGTCTGGTGTTGGGAGATTTGGGGGAATGATGATGCCGATAAGCGACAAATTCTCCTTAACAAATACGGGTGGTTATGCAGGCTGGCAGTCTTCAGGACAACCAGATTCCAATGTGGAAATGGATAGCAAAAGCTGATAGCAAAATGCCTGTAGGGTGATGGAACTGGAGAGCAGAGGAGATCAATTGTATCTATAATATTTGTTTTCAAGAAATAGAATAACTTGCAAATATTTGGGATGGTACTCACTGGTGCTTGTATCAGTTTCTGTACTTTTGTCTTGTTTTTAATTTTCAAAATAATCCAGAAATTAAATAAAGAATGAAACATTTGGAGTACCTGCAATATGCTTGGCACTGCTCCAGACATTTGGGCTATTTGCCCCCATCAAAGTTGAATTTTACCTAAACTCTGTGCTTTAGGAAGACTGCAGTGGTTAACAAATGCCCCTATCTTTGTTGCTGTTGTTGTGGGGAAACAATTTATTGCAAAGATACATTCTTCCTTGTATGACTTAAAGACTCAGGGATCTGCTTCCATACCTTGTTTACCTACCACAAACCCTTTCCTCGTAATGTTTGAGACATTTGTGGCTCTTATGGTCAGAGCTTCCCTGTGTTGCAGTAGTCCCTCTCTGTTAAAGAAAGGCCTGGAGAACTGTTTTCCTGAAAATTACATCCAAAAAAACCCTATGTAGTAATTCTACTCTGTAACATGGGGTTGTCAGGGGTTATAATTGACTCCACAGCATGTTTTTTGTTGTTTGTTTGTTTGTTCTAGTAGCTCCACAAAGCCTTCCTTGTAAAATTTACGTAGAGTTTAGAAATTTGGCTATTGTGTCCCGCTTACCAGTAAGTGTATACCCCTATACAAGACACTTTCCCCCATCAGGTATCTTTCAATTCTCGCTATTAATCTTATAGCAGCATCTCAGCATTCCTTTTCTTCAGTACACTGGAAGATACTTCTCCATATACAGAGTGTAAACGTTGTTCTTGTTAGTTGCCATGGGGCCCATTCTCATGCCTCCGTTGCCTGGAAACCCCAGGTATGTAGAGTACAATTGCTCCATAGAATTTTCAAGGTTATGCCCTTTCTTAGAGGATCACCAGGACTTCTGAGGCACCTCTAGTTTGGTTGGTACCACCATCCTCTCCAGCTAGTTTCACAGCGTTTGTCTGAGCCATTTAATTCCAGTTAATCAACAGAGGCAACATGGGGGTATAGTCAGTTTCATGAGCATTTTTAGGTTTTGAGGAGAGAATAGGTTTTTTTTTTCTTTTCTTTTTTTTTTTTCCTGCCTTCGTGTTTACATTGTAGTGCAGGAAGACAGAAAAAGTAGAAGATATAGTGCGTAACTACAGCACAGAGCAACGCAAGAGGGACCTTCAATTTAGATTTGTTCTCTGACTTCTCCAAATCCTAGCCTCTCAGTCTTCCGTCACTAACGTTCCTCCCAAATCCGACACCGCCCAAGACCTCGCCTTCGAAAACTGACCGCGCCCACGTTATGACGTAGAATTTCCAGGCCTCGTCTACGTTGTGTCGTAGTATTCCTGGCCGCGTAGGTTCAGCCAATGAAAAACATTAGAACCTGCTCTTGCTCTGTTAAGCCCCCGTCCCGTGACGTCAAAGAGCGGCGACAGCAATGGTGCCGGGTAGTTGTGGCGCTTGGCGTCTCGCGCCGCTCCTGCGGCGTGGCATCTTGCCCCGCGCACTAAGACCCACAGAGCACTTGGGTACCCGGTCTCGCCTGCTGGCCCTGCAACGGCCATCCGCCGGCCCGCCCTTCGGCCTAGTCTCCGACCCCGCGCGCTGCCTGCACGGCGGAACCCGGCTGGAGGAGCCGGCGGAGGGTGTAGCCGAGAAGGGACCCCCGGAACCGAGCGCTGCAGGTAGGGACATGGATCCTCTCCCGAGCGGCCCCGGATATGGGAGCTCTGGCTTCACGTCTGTGTGTATTCCCCGTGGAGTCACAAAATTGATTGTTAGCACCAATATTCATATTTCACATTGAGGATGCAGGAAAGCCTGGCTGTCCAAGACATTCCCTCCCCCCACTCCCCCTTGTAGGTTTCCGGAGAATGGATTGGTCGAATGTAGCGGTTTGGTAATTCTGAGCAAGAGCCAGGTTAGGAATTACGGCGTGGGAAGAAACGCTAATAGGAGATAGAGAGGTGTGTGTCGCTGCAGGAGAAGCCCTGAACCCTAAGGTCGGTTTGAAACAGTCGCTCCTCGGAAACCCTATACAGGGTCGCTATGATTCACAGCCTACTCAGTGGCACTTAACAGCAACAGTCTCAGGCGTAGTATAAGCACTGGGCTGCTAACCGCAAGGTAGACGATTCAAACCCACCAATTGCAGCGAGACGACCCTATACAGGGTCGCTGTGAGTCAGCCGACTGGAAGGCACACAATAACCTAAGGTGCAGACTGACTGCTAACCACAAGGTCCGAGGTTCAAACGCACCAGCTACACTCTGAAAACTATACAAGGTCACCATGAGTCGGAACCTACTTGTCAGCACTTACCAACAATTTTAAGGTGTGAAGCCCTGGTTTGGCACTTAGGATAAGCACTGGAATATCAGTAGCGTAATGGTTATGAGTCGGGCTGCTAACCCCAAGGTCAGCAGTTCGAAACTACCAGCCGTTTCGCGGGAGAAAGATGAGGTGTTCTGCTCCCGTAGAGATTTATAGCCTTGGAAACCCTATGCAGGGTCTCTGTGAATCAGAACTGACTCCACGACATACTACCACCATTAACGAAAAGGTTGTTTCAACCACACCAGTCCTCCTTTGAAATCCTATACAGGGCTGCTGAGTCAGAACTGACTCGATGGCTGTTAACAACAGCAACCATTTAAGGTGTGTTTAGGATAAGCCGTGGATTGCTAACCACAAGGTCGGCAGTTCAAACTCACCAGCTGCTCCGTGGAAGAAAGATGACGTTTTCTGCTCCCATAGTGACTAAGATATATTCAGCTTCCCTAAAGGTTATTACTAGGTTATTACTATTGTTCGGTGCCCTCAAGTTGGTTCCTACTCTAAGCGATCCTATGCACAACAGAAGGAAACACTGTCCTGTCCCTTAATTGTCAAACAATTATGTTTGAGCCCATTGTTACTGCCACTGTGCCAGTCCATCTTGGTGGAGGCCTACCTTTTTTTTTTGTTGATCTTTCATTTTACTAAGCATGATGTCCTTTTCCAATGACTAGTCTTTCTTGACAGCATTTCCAAAGTATGGGAGATGAAGTCTCACCATCCTCGCTTTTGAGGAGCATTTAGTCTGTACTTCTTCCAAGACAGATCCATGGTTCTTTAGGCAGTTCATGGTACTTTGAATATTCTTTGCTAACACCATACTTCAGATGTATGGATTCTTCTTGATTACTCATTGGCCAACTTTCTTTGGCTTGGATTAGGCACACCTTAGTGCTCAAGATGACGTACTTGTTCTGTAACACTTTAAAGAGGTCTTTTTAGCAGATTTTCCTAGTATAATACAGCATTTGTTTGCTTGACTGCTGCTTCCAATGAGCATTGTGAATCGAAGCAAAATGAAGTCTTTGACAACTCCAGTTTTTTCTGTTTATCCTGATGTTGTTGGGCCAGTTGATAGAATTTTTGTTTTCATTGAGGTGCAGTCCATACTGAAGGCTGCAGGCTTTGATTTTCATTAGTACTTCAAGTCCTCTTTGCTTCCAGGAAGTGATCATTTACATATCTCAGATTGTTAATGAGTCTTCTTTAATGTATCTTCTCTAATGTCTAAAGATTACAACCTTGGAGCAGCCATGCTGTGGGTTAATGCGCTGGACTACAAAGTTGGTTTGAACCACAAGGTCGGCAGTTCAAGCTCACTAGCCACTCTTTGGAAACCTTATACAGGGTCACTATGGACCGGAACCAATTTGACAGCAATTAACAACAACAACAGCATAAGGTCGCTGTAGGATAACCACAAGGTCAGCAATTCAACCCACCAGCCACTTTGAGAAACTCTGTTCGGAGTTACTATGAGTCAGAACTGACTTGCCAGCACACAACGGTAATAACATAGCATCAGTATGGAGTCTTGATGTGGTGCTGTAGGATAAGCACGGGACTGCTAACCACAAGATTAGCAGTTTAAACCCATAAGCTTCTTCTCCTTGTAAACCCTCTATAGGGTAGCTGTGAAATGGAACCGACATGATGGCACTTGCCATCAATGACAGTGGGGTCTCCATATGTCAGAACTGACTGCCTTCCAGCTGACTACAGTAGAGCTATCACTGAGCTCCTTTACAAGGCTGTCTTGAGTCAAAATCAGTCCCATGGCAGCTGCAACTCACTGTAAACGTTTTTAGAAACTTGGGAGATAATAAACTGATCCCATCTGTAAAAGGGTAGTGTGTGGGAAGGATTAGATCGGAGGAAAACTAATTAATAACCTGCAGTATACAGGTAATGTAACCTTGCTTGCTTGAAGCAGAGGACTTAAAATACTGAAGATCAAAGACCATAGCCTTCAGTATGAACTGAACCTCTCAGTGTAAAGAAAAAATCCTCATAACTGGACCCATAAACACCATCAATATAAATGGAGAAGAGATTTAAGTTGTTGAAGAGTTCGCTTTGCTTGCGGTTCAGACCAACTTTGCAGTCCAGTGTGTTAGTATTTCCACATGTACAATGTACTAACAATGATCATTTTCATGTTGTGCAACCTTGATTGATACCCTTTTCTAAATTTGCCCACTAAGCAAAGCCTTTCCCTTTCCTTTGCACCCTGGTAACCACTAATCAATCATCTTTGGTTTCTATATATTTACTCACTTCATATAAGTAAGATCATACAGTATTTGTCTTTTGGTAACTGATTTTGCTCAGCATATTGTTTTGTAGGTTCATCCATGTTGTAGCAAGTATCAGGACTTCATTTCTTTTTAAGGATGAGTAATAATAGTTCAGTGTGTATATAATACATTTTGTTATCCATTCATATGCTGGGCGTTTGGTTGCTTACATTTTGGGGCTGTTGTGAATAGTGCCACAGTGAACATTATTGTACAGGTTTCTGCGTGCTTTCCTACTTTTACATCTTCTGGGTGCATACCTAGGACTGGGATTGCTGGTTAAAATGGTATTTCTAGGCTCAACTTTTTGAGGAACTACCAAAATATTTTCCAGTGGCTACACTGTTTTTGACTCTTGGTGTGGCACTGTAGAATCGACACTGGACTTCAAACCATAAGGTTGGCAGTACAGGCCCACTTAGTCACTCCTCAAAAACACTATACAGGGCCGTTATGAGTTGGAACTGATTTAATGTCACTTAACAACGTACGGTTTTACATTCCCACTAGCAGTGGAAGAGGGTTCCAGTTTCTGCACCCCACCAACACCTATGATTTTCCATTTTGCTTTGCCATTCTAATGGGTGTGTGTGAGGTGGTATCTCATTGTTGTTTTGATTGTCATCTCCTTAATGGCTAATGAAGGAACTCTGGTAGCTTAGTGGTTACGAGTTGGGCTGCTAACTTCAAGCCTCATCTTTCTCCCATGGAGCAACTGGTAGTTTCAAACTGCTGACCTTGTGGTTCGTAGCCCGATTCGTAACCACTACATTACCAGAGCTCCTTACCAGACCTGATATTTTTCTTCCCATCTGTAGTTTGTCTCTTCACTACATTGGTAATATTCTTTCATGAACAAAAATATTTAATTTTTGAGGTCTCATTTATTTGCTGCTTGTGTTTTAAAAACTAGCTCACATAGTCTCATCCCTGTATTTTCTTCTATTTTTATGGTTTAAACGTTCACATTTATATCCTTCATCTTCTGTGATTTGGCTTTGTGTGTGGTGTGAGGCTTAGTCCTCATTCATTCTTTTCCAATTTTCCCCAGCATTGTCTGGTCAGAGACTGTTACTTACACATTGAATGACCTTATACCACCTTTGTCAAAAATCAGTTGACTCTGGATGTATGGATTTCTAGACTCTCATTCTATTCCACTTGTCTATTTATCTGTTATCCATACCAGGCTGTTTTAATTACTGTGGCTTTATATACTAGGCTCTGAAATCAAGAAATGTGAGCCTTCCCTACGCTGTAATCTTATTCAAGTATTTTGGGGGTGAGGGTTGGCAATGGCTATTTAGGGTCCATTGCTCTTGCATATAAATTTGAGGCAGGTGACTTTTTAAGTGAAACTTTTAAGGGTAAAAAATGAGAAAGTTTCAGCTCACATTGACAAGCTGGGTGACCCTGGCCAACACATTAATTCTGTTACACCTCAAGTTTCTTATTTTTCAAGTGAAGGGAGTGTACCAGATACTTAAGGAGCCCTTTCAACTCAATTGTTGTAAAGTGCTTCTGACACAGAGACCTTGTGTGATCTTCTATGTCTGAGATTCAATTTAATATGCCTTACAATAAATAGCACCAGCTCTCTATAACTTGTGCTGTTTTTTTTCCCCTTCTGTATATGATCTTTCTTTTTGAGGTTTATTGCTCATTTCTTCAATTACTAAAGAACAAATAATTTGTTGATGTATGGCTCTTTTTCATTGTGGTAATAACAGTGTGTTTACAGTGACTCTGTAGCCTGAGTACTCTTGACTATAAAGCTTGGACACTTACAGTTCATCTTCCAGGATTCATGGGCCCTGTGGTCTTCTAAAACATTTTGGATTAGCTATTCCACAGTTGCATATGCAGCTTGAGCATGTAACACGCACTACCGGTTGTCCTTGAGCTGATTCTGACTCATCACCATCCCATGTGTGTCAGTAGTTCTGAGTTTGCTCTGATTTTCCAGAAGTAGATTGCCAGGCCTTTCTTCCAAGATGCTTCTGCCTAGACTCCACCCCCCAAACTTTTGGTGGTTGTTTGTTAAGTGCTGTTGAGTCGGTTCTGACCCATAGTGACCCTGAACAGGGTTTCTGAGGCTGTAAATCTTTTTGAGAGCAGAAAGCCTCATCTTTGTCCTGCGGAGCAGCTGGTAGTTTCGAACTGCTGACCTTGCAGTTCGCAGCCTGATTCGTAACCACTATGCTACCAGAGCTCCTTAAACTTCGTGAGCACCCAAGTAAATTTAACTGTTTGAGTCACTTAGGAACTCCTCTGAGTACACACAGTGTCTGCCTATTACTTAGCTATCTGACAAACAAACCTTTTGTTCATTTCAGATCACACTGGTCCACAGTTTGACATAGATATGCTGGTATCACTTCTGAGGCAAGAAAATGCAAGAGACATTTGTGTTATCAAGGTTCCTCCAGAGATGAAATATACAGATTATTTTGTGATTGGGAGCGGAACCTCCACCCGCCACTTACATGCCATGGCCTACTACATTATGAAAATGGTAAGGTGCTCACTGTTTTCTCTTGGGCCAGTAGCATCAGGCTGAGGAGCAACATTTTGAAAATACACTTGTCATATGAGGTTGCATGAGAAGCCCACATTTTCAAAATTTGTATGAGGGTCTTTTATATCCGTGATAGTAAAAGGTATGAGATAAATATCTAGTCCTATTGAATCTAGATATTTTAAATTCATATAACCACAAGGAAAAAGTTTGAAAACTAACCTGAGGCAATCTAGAAGATAATAGACCCAGGGAGACTTTTAGAGCTGCATTGTCCAGTTGGTAGCCAGTATCCACAGTTGATTACTAGCTATCATGCTGGACGGCACTTCTATTATTGTGAAAGTCTACTGGACAGTGGTAGTCTAGATTTTAATTCAAATGTCTGAGTAAATCCAGTGTTCCCAAACACTGCTGGGTATGTGAAAATAAAGATGAAAAAGAGCTAGTTGAGGAAAGGGAAGACAGTTCATTTCTGAACTGAACTGATTATGTAACTTAATGAGGAAGAAAGTAAGCTGGAAGTCACCAGTTAGTTGATTTTGTACCGTTCTCCAGGGGAATGTGCCCTTCACCCTGTTGAAAATCAGTCATAGAGATGACAGTTGAGATTGCCTGGGGAAGGGTTCTGGTACAACATGACAGCAGAAGATGACAGTATGGGAGGCAGGTGAGAAGAGTATGGAATGGAGTAAGGTGAAGACTTAGAAGTGAGTACTGGACTTGGCAAGGACTATTACAAAAATTTTAGGTACCAGTATGAAGGGGAAAAAAGCAATGCAGAGTCAGGCTGTAGGAATGACTGAACTGGTTCCCAAATTTAAGACGAAGATGTATGTCATCAGACCTTCCATCAGACTGCAGACCTGCCTCTGCCCCCCTTTTATATATGACTTGGCTTGTTTTCAGTACAAATTCCTGAAGTGTCAAAGTGACCCTTATGTTAAGATAGAAGGGAAGGACTCTGACGACTGGCTCTGCATGGACATTGGTAAGTTATTTTGGTACATTTTACAGGTAAACATATGAAATTGTATTAATATTCAATTGACTTTAACAGGGTTAAGATCAATTTCTGAGTATCTGTCATTCCTTTTAGAATTTAAAAGTAACGAGTTTTACTTAATCCTTGTCTGACCAAAGTATGCTAGATGTACTGATGAAAGATGGTATATAAATATAAAATGAACCACATGGGTTTGGAAGATGGACAGCATAGAAACAGGACAGAAAGGCTTGGGGTCGGGGAGCTGAAAGGGGTGACCTGAAATCTTGAAAAGGAAGAACAAGTGTGGGTATTAATATTGGGATCTGGGATTACTTCATTAATTATAATCTTTATAATTAATAATCATATGTCAAGACCTGTGTAGGATCTGTGATTTTACCCCTATCTGTAAACTAACAAGTTGCCAATTTCAAGAAAGATGACTCCCAGTAGCAACTGGCTTTTTTACAGCAGTTCCCCAAGTCCACAGGAAACAGAGGGTTCTAGGACGCCTGCAGCCCAGTGTGTTAGCAGAGAGGAACCTGAGTCTTATATAGTGGGCAGTAAGTGCCTTCCTGTGGCTCTGGTTGCATTTCAAGGCTGTAATGTCAGGTTTCACAGCCCTAGCTAGCACTGTTGACATTTTTAGTTAATTTTATTGGAGGAGTTACTATTCTGTGCAACATAGGATGCTTTGCAGTGTCCTCACCGCCCCGCCCAAGTTATTTTTAATTACTGTATGTGTATACTTTGCCAGAATTCCTTTCGACTTCAGGCTACTCATTATACTAATATCCTTGGAAAGATAGGGCAGTTACTGTTTTGCCCATAGAATGTATAGAAATGTGATACCCTTAGAATATTATCTTCCAAATAAAACTTGACAAGAAAGCACAAAGTAAATGTTACTATAATGCTCTGTACCACACAGTAATACGTGCACAGCACAGCTTCTGATGGGGTAGGGCATTCTACCTAATTCCACGTCTTAAGGAGTTAGAGCATGGTTCTTCAGTCATACTAGCCACAGAGGTTGTAAGATTACAATATTAAAAGGAAATGGACTGCTTCATCATTGTAACTCTTTTATATGTCCCTGATAGGCAGCATGGTGATTCACTTGATGCTTCCGGAAACCAGAGAGATCTATGAATTAGAAAAATTATGGACACTGCGCTCTTATGATGACCAGTTAACTCAGATAGCATCTGAGACATTACCTGAAGACTTTATTCTTGGAATAGAAGACAACACTTCTTCATCCCTCACACCAGAGGAGTTCAAGTATGAATAAAAATTAATATGAACTGCTTTAGTCATTTCAGATTTTTCTCTAAAAATAGAGGTTGTTTTTTTTTTTTTAAATTAACGAGTCTTGTCTGCCTCATGCTGACACTTAAGAGACTTAGAGATTGTAGCTGTTAGGTGCTGTCGAGTCAGTTCCGACCCATAGCAACCCTGTATAAGGTTTCCAAGTAGCAGCTGGTGAGCTTGAACTGCCGGCTTTGCAGTCTAGCACATTAACCCACAGTGCCACACCAGGACTCCACTAAAAACAGTAGGTTCAAATAAAATCTTTACACCTACTCTTCCTGGGGATTCCAACAGGATTTCTAGGAGTTAACACTGTTACATGTAAAATCTTATTCTGTACAGTGGAATGTCCACAAACAAAACAAACCTACCAAATTTATCCAGTAATTTTTTTCTTTGAGATATTAATGTGATAACAATAAATACCAAGATATTCTTGGACAAAACTTCTAAAGTCTTAGGCTAAACTTTTGACAAGTTTCAGGTCTCATGCATCCTAAAAATTATCCAAATCTACCATGCTACTGAAAGGCAAGCTTGTTTTGGGAAGGTAGGAGAAGTTGTTTGATAGTATTTTATCCAACAGTATTATCAAGGTTCACACAAGTTCCATGGCATGGTGAAATAAACATCCTACCACGAGACACTGGTGATTGACATCATGTCGCTAAAAATCTAAGCTCTTAGTTTGACTAAATTTAGAACATTTATTACATTCATATCAAAAGCCAAAAATAAAACAAATACACATCAAACTCCATCTAATGATGAAAAATTTTATTCTGCATAAAGGTATCTGGAAACTGAAGCTGCATTGGGGGCATATTATAGATGAAGAATGATCCATAAATGGTGAGTACAAAACTCAGTTACAATTGATGGATTTCCTAGCTATTATTACCAGATACTCCAAATTACCATCTTCCACACTGAAACGCTAGAAGTGAAACATGACAGAATTTAAACCAGCAGATAGAAATGCAGCACCTATTTGTAAAGAAAAATCAAATACTGGAAAAATAAAATATTGAGGAAGAACTCTGGCATTAAACACATCTCACCTGAAATCCAACCAGAGAGCTAATAATACATGGGTTTTTTTTTTTTGTAATTTTAATTCATTGAATGAAAACAAATGAGTGCTAGATGAAGTCACTGACAAAAGGGCACTTTTGGCTAAAACTACAAAATAAACTGCTTTTCTGAAAACTTTTCAAACCATTTTCAAATGACTAATTGGCATGCTGATCTTCAGAAAAACTTACCTAGGCCATGTAAAATTTATCTTGAAATAAGAATGAGGCAAAACAATTTTCTTAAGGTTATTACATATGCCCTTCAGATCAGTATAACGTGGTGACTGTGATCATCTTATGAACAGAAAGCAACACACAAATAACTCCGAGCAGCACGGCCTTGGAGACCACCCACACAACTGTCTGTACCGGGCTTTGCCATCCAATTAAGAATTGAGCAAACAAGTTCATTCATTATTAAAGGTGAAGATTGTATCACAGTCATTCAAATTATATTCCCAAAGTTCTTTTCATGTATCCCCTACCTTTTGACTGACTTTTCAAACAGCTGGTTGCAGAGTGTACGAGAAATTCTGCTGCAATTTTTGTAGTATTTTAAGTGGCCTTTTTCTTGGTTTTCATCGCTTAAAAATCTTTAAAATAGCTTAGTGAGGCCCACAGATAGTGCCTAGATTCACAGGTGTTGTTGCACCTTCACACACTGTCATACCATCTCTGACTGCCCCAGTGCTCATCACAGAGCTCTTGTTTTGGGGCCTGCTGAAAGCGTAGACAGCTGGGCTGGCATGTATTGACAAACTGAGCATCCTGGAAGATGAGGGGAAGCTTCCTGTTTTCAAGCAGTTTCAAGTCCACAGGGGCTGTATCTCTTAATTGATGCACTTACTTTCCTTAGTGAGAGTCCAAAGCACAAAAAAATAATATGTATTCAATCATGGACCCAAATGAAAAACTCAGGTCTCCCAAAGCCAATTTAAACTAGCCGCTCCCAAACCTGCCACCACTTTGCTCTGTTAGTACCATCAAAAACTTTCCCTACCATTAATAAACAAACAAGCAAAAGGTATTGCTGCTTTCCAAACATAGGCACTGCTCCACATCTTTGAATATTTACTGACTGATAACTGTGTCAAAAGCTTCAAAAAACATTTTTCCAACTTTACTGTCATCAGCCAGAAGTAAAATCCTTTCCTCAGTTATTTTCCTGTTAGCTGGTAGCTGATTAAACTTTTTTTTTTTTTAAAAAAAGGTTGGATTTTCATTTTTATAAAGTATATAAAATTTCCCCACCTCCCCCCAAAAAAAAAAACAAAAAAAAAACCACGAACAATTTTGCTTTTCATTGCATTACTGAATACCTGAGGTAGTTGAGTCAAAATGCACATTTAACACCCCTGCCAACACCAGTCAGCACTTCCCTTAGGTTATTCATGTTAGTGTTAGACAAAAATAAAACAGGTTTTTCTATGCTAGTGGCTTAACATTTAAGTTTCTGTGATAATTCTATTTGGATCCAATTTTAACTATTGGATTTAGGAGCAATCCATACTTAATTTATTTAATGAACTTAGTAATTGCATCATTAAGCCAGTCTGTGGTGTTACTGGGCGAGTATCAATTCCTGGGGAGATAGTTTTTACACTGTGAGAACACAACCACATGGAAGTGCAGAGCTACTGTGGCTCCCTTCTCCTCCCCTTAAACTCTTTTTAAAGCTGGGTGTCATACATCTTAGAGAGCAAAAAGTATACATTCTCACAGAGACAGGAGTTCAAAAGTTGCCTGGTCCTCAAAGAAACGACTGGCTAGGTACAAGTTGTGCATGTGATTCTGGGTAGGGGTTGAGCGCCCATCTGTTGGTTAAGCAATCTGTCTTTGGTTTGGCATCTCTGCCTCTGTGGTGGGCTGTTTCCTGAGCCTTTATTTTCTTCTTGACTGAGGTGGCCCACTTTGCAGAGCCTTCTGCTGTTGGTGTTGCTTTACCTGAGTCAGAATTTCCTGAATTTTTCTCTGGGCAAGCTGCAAAAGGAGAGAGCTCTGAATGTTTTACCTAATAAAAAATTACTAAAAGTTATTTTAAACTCTTAATGTTAACAACTCCAAATAGAAATTCATGTGATGAATAAGAACAGATCAAGAATATATACTCATCAGTTTGCTAGTAGAGTCTGAAATCATTCTCTAAAAGGGGGGGGAGGGGGGAGGACTAAAAGCGTTAAGCACTAAACGACTATGTATTTCTCTTGGGGGATGGGAGGGTCCCAGAGAATTGTTTCCAGTTTGAGAAAAAAAGCAAAGATCTTAATTATCATGTAAGAAAGCAGCACCCCGTTACCTGGCAAGCATAGAAGTGACCAGTTATTTTGACAATCACTTGGTCATTCTCATCAGGTGTCTGATCACGAGGGACAACAACTTCTGCACTTGATAAATTCTGGAGCTCATTCACCTAGAAAAGATAAATACAAATCATGTTAAGTGGGACATGTTTAAGATGCTTATTCCCGAATATGAATTCAACTAATAAATCTTACAAGCTTGTTACGGTTAGTATTGCCCGTACACCTCAAGGTGTTTAATATCAACGCTTATCCAAAGAAACTGACTTGCTCAATGTTATAAGTGAATGGCTGAACCAGATCCCAAACCAGATATTTTAATTGTAAATAGTTTTGAAACTTGCTTAAAATAATGTGTTTAAAACTGGAACCCGTTTTCTTTGCTCAGTTATAGAGGGTTTAAGTGTAGATGACACTTTCTAATTTTCATGATGTTGGGTTTGTGCAATAAAAATTAAAAGGTAAGGCTGTACCAATAGAGTGTTTAATGCCTCTTAGAAACAGAACCGCCTTCTCTCATAGGTGGTCTCAGTATCAGCTGGCACCAACATTCAGGAAGAACAAAAGGCAATCTTTCCAACCTTGGCCGAGCTGGTCCTGACTCATGCATTAGCCAAAATCAGGAACTTGGACTTCTCCCTCGGTACCTGTCAGTGCTTGTCCTATTGATACCGCTGCAAAGGTTTTGCTCAAGTACTTGCCGTTTTGCCTCCTTTTCCAATAACTCTGCCAGCAGCAAAGGATGGCACTCTGATATGAGCTTCAAGTTTCACCTCTTCTTTAGGACTAACAAAATTTTCTTCTTTAATTTTTCCATAAATTCTTCCCTGAGCCTACAGATGAGACAGTAGCTTGTCAGTATCATTCATACTAGAGAGACAGGAGTCTATGGTCTCACCTCACCTCTTAAAGGCCATTGAGCAAATTCACTTTTGGAGACAGGTAAATTCAACAAATCCTATAAGCAGCCATTAAGGAACTGTTTCTATGCTGCTCTTAGCCACCTGAATTTCCAACAGATTTCTAGTGTATATAAGGGGGGGATGGGAAATCAGGTAACAGAAGTTCTTGAACAAACGTCATTCACTGTACACATCCATCATTTGTAACTGTCCAGCCTGTTAGAGCTCATACCTTGAACTGAGCCTCTGGGGGCCCGGTAATAATCACCATCCTCACTTTTGCATCTGGTGCTTCAGCTGGAGCGATCTGTAACAGGCCCACCAACAATGTAACGTTAGGCTGTTTTCAGGTGCCAGGAACAATTAGCTTCTGTTTGCAATATGAGTGACTGAATAGAAAAGAAAATCTTGGAGAAAAAAGTTACCCTGAGGGGCAGTGATTAAGGTGATTTAGTCCATTAAGGCTCCTGCCCCACACAGTCTTAATTGACACTGTGCAAAACTCATGTGCAATCACAGTTCATCTTTACTACATCCTAATGAGACACCGCCTCCACTTTACAAATGGGAAACTGACAGGCAAAGAAGTGGAGCTGCTTGGCACAAGATCACACAGCTAACAGAGCTGGAGGGAGAGCCAAGTCTGTCTCCCAGCTGGTAATGCTAATCCTTACACCAGCGGTGCTCAGTCAGTGTGCTCTGGTCCCACTGTCCGAATCCCCTGGGCTTCCTGTCTGTGTCTGTCTGACTGCACACAGCCTCAGACCGACCTTCCTGTCCTTATGGGAAAGAACACTGCGTTTTAATTATGTTGATGTGGTGGTGATGGTTTATTGCTATGGAGTTGGTTCTGATTCACAGTGACTGACCCTTATATTAGGGTTTCCAGGGAGCAGCTGGCAGGTTTGAACTGCCAGCCTTGTGGTTAGCAGTCCAGTGCCACACCAGGATTCCATATCTAGGTTATAAAACTTCTTACATAAAGTTTAAAAAGAAAATTAGTTTGTTCTGTTTTCACAGATTTTTTTCCCTAGGTTTACAAATGTAAGGCTTATTAGTAAATTCCTCCAAGTATGTCATTTGAGTAGCAGGAAATGAACTAACATTAATTTGACAAAAGAAGCAATGAAGTGAACCACAAGGTTGGCAGTTCGAGCTCACCAGCCACTCTGTGGGAGAAATATGAGGCTTTCTGCTCATGTAAACAGGTACAGCCTCAGAAAGTCCATACAGGGTTGCTGTGAGTCAGAACTGATTCAGTGGCACTTCACCACCACCACCACCATTTTTGGCTAGTATATGAAATCATTCTGAAATCCCTGTGGGGTTAACCACCATTTTTGGCTAGTATATGAAATCATTCTGAAATCCCTGTGGGGTTAAGGTGCACGAGACTGTTGAAGGGAAAAGAAATCCAGCATTGCTCCAAGGTGATAGTTAGAGAACATTTTGGATCCCAGGACTCTAAGGAGTCCTTTTTAAAGAAAAACATTATGCCAGACGTTCATCAAGAAGTACATTCTCATTTTAAAATCCACCTTAACACTATGTAAAAATTGTTGTTTGTAGTTTAGTGCCTTCAAGCGGGTTCTGCGGGTTCCGTCTCATAGTGACTCTCCCAGGAGCGGCTGGTGGATTTGAACTACTGACTGTTGCAGTTCAAAACGACTTTGTGGTCCAGTGATTATCTTATAGCACACCAGGACTGGACTGGACTGAATAAGCTAAAACTAACAATCACCCCAAATTTAAAATACAGTCTTTTAGACCTTTTCCTGTATATATTTAAAATCAAAGAATTTGCTTTTAATGAAATCATGCTTTCTTCCTCCCTCAAAATCAAGCTAATATTTCTGTCATCTAGACCAAATTGATACTATTTTTAAGCTTATAAAACAACTATAATTATTTTCTTTTTGATCAAACTCTCAAGATTATTCACAGGAAACCCCTAGAGAGAAAATACCATTCTAAACAATTTTTCACTGTCTTTTCGGTGAAGGTGGTTAACACAGTAATTTCAGTTCCCTTCCACAAGTTCTATACAGATTATTCAGTAACATTGGTTCCATGCATTACAATTCACAAACATTTACAACGGTTCCATTTCCATTGATCTTCTTTCCCTTCTTACAGTCTTTGTTTTAAAGTAACTGTTTAAACTCATGTACATGGTTTTTTTCCCCAAACACCTTTGTCAATACGGGGGATAAAGGGCTGTGGCTAAGGGCACCCCTACACTGATGAGGCCTGTAGACTGCTGTCTCTTAAGCTGAAAAACTCACATGCCTTCTGACTTAACCACACCTAGTTCTGTAAACAGGTGCTACAGAAAAAAAGGTGGTATACAATTTTGTTAAAAGTTTTGCTCATCATTAAACTGTATGAGAGAATTAGGAACAATAGAAATGTCCATTAAGTGAACATAATTATGGTTTGGGGATAAATATTATGTGCCTATGGGAGCTCTGGTAGCATAGTGGCTACGAATCAGGCTGCGAACCTTAAGGTCAGCGGTTCGAAACTACCAGCTGCTCCACGGGAGAAAGATGAGGCTTTCTACTCCCGTAAAGATTTACACCCTCGGAAACCCTGTACAGGGTCGCTATGGGTCGGAACCAACTCGACAGCACTTAACAACAACAATGTTATGTATGTATCTCGCCATGGCTCCATGGTTTGAGCCTGCCAGCCACTCCGTGGGATGTGTAAATTTATACCAAAGTTGTAAGAGATGACTCAGATTATGCCTGGTTTCAGACGTTTTGGAAACAAAAACATTTTACCTCATTAAAAAACCACCATGGGAGCCAGTAAGTATAAGAACTGAGCCTCTGAATTTTTCTTGTACATAAAATGTTCATTGCTATTTTTCTAAAACGAATCTACTGGATTCTTTGTGTGAGCATGTGTCCAAGATTTATTTTTAGCTCATTAACCTGGCAATTAGTAGGACAGTCAAGCTAGTTTACCACTTGATCTTTTACCAGGTCATTTTCTTTACTCATTTATTTTGACTGGATTCCATGTTCAAATAAGGCTGTCTCTGCTGTAAGAAATCTTTTTCTGTATGTATTCTCTCACTTTTAATTATTTTATAATTTACATACCTTAAAACCCAGTCTCTATATTTATGAGTTGATAAATACACAGGCACGTGACAATCTCCAACATCAATACAGAACAGTTCTATCACTTCCTAACATTTCCTTGTACAGTTTCTTTTTCCTCGCTCCCTCACTCCCAAATCCTATCAATACTGATTTGTTTTTTGTCTCTGTAGTTCTCCCTTTCCTAGAATGTCATTGAAAATTTTGACTTCTTTCCCTTAACAATACATTTGAGACCTATCCAACTTGCTGCATGTATCAGTAGATTGTTCCTTTTCTTTATTGAGTAATACTGTATGGATGGATCATTGTTTATCCATTCACCAGATAAAGGGCAGTCGTTTTCTTTGCATTTGGGGAAAGTTATGAATAAAGATGTTATAAACATTTGAGTAAAGGTTTTTGTGTTAACCTAAGTTTTTATTTCTCTTGGGTAAATATCTAGAAGTGTGATTGAGTTTTATTTGTCCAGTATTTAGTAACCATTCTTCTGTAGTAGTGTTTGGTGGTGGTGGTGGTGTGCCCTCGAGTTGGTACCGACTCATAGAGACCCTTCACAGGGTTTTCCAAGGCTGTGAATCTTTATAGAACAGAAAGCCTCATCTTTCTCCCATGCTGAGAAAAGTATCAATACCAACTTGTTCATAGTTTAAAACAAAAACAGGCCACTTATTTGGTGTTCAAATTTGCAGCATATTAAAATATATACTTGAGAGCATACAATCATCTATATGACAGAACCCATTGTTTTTCTCCCAGTATTTGTTAAGCAATATTTCATAGTAAAGGTTAGCTAGCTGATCACAAATGGACATTTCCCAGCTGCCCCTTCACCAACATTTGGCCTTGTGAACAAGTTCTGATCAATGGAACACACTTAGAAATAAATTACACCATACTAGCAGAATCTTCCTTAAGAGAAAACCTCTTTGTTGTACCCTCTTCTACTGCGGGGCAACAGACAATTGCTAGGGAGCTAATTAGTGCATCTGGGACCATGAGGACCAAGGCTACATCTGGGGAAGAACAGCTAGAATGTACCCAAGGTTCAGGGATTTGGCAGGGAGGAGCCACCATACGAGCCTTAGATTACTTACCTCCCAACTGCCTTTTTCCAGAGAGACATAACTTAGAGGATTTCTGTCACATCCTTATGTAACCCTCACAGTTACAATTGACGAGTGACAAGATGACTCATGAGTTTGTAACTTACTGAACTTAAAAGTACTAGGAGAGCTCCAGTTAGCAGAACAGTACCTTAATTGAAGCTCCTGCAAATCGAGATAGCTGTTTGATATGCTGTCCTTGCTTGCCAATAATGGCACCGACCGATAAGGCTGGGATAAACAGATGAACAGTCTCTGTTTCTGAGTGCTGTTGGAAAAGAAGGACAGGATATACATGCTACACATGAGTTTTGTCATTATGGTTGACATGTTCAGACAACAGAATATGAGAAAAGTTTTAAAAAACTACCAAGTAAGTTGACATGAATATATAACATGACAAGATCATTTCATTGGCACTATTGATCCTCACATCACTTACATTTAAATTTTCACTTTTTTCTATACAACCTCTTAAAATGTCACTGAGTTAAAACATTTAAATAGTATACATTTATATATAAAGTTCAATAAATAGGGATATGGTTGAGTTAAAATAAGATACACTATGTTGTTGTTAAGTTCCATCGAGTCGGGTCCGACCCATAGCGACCCTGTACAGGGTTTCCGAGGGTGTAAATCTTTACGGGAGTAGAAAGCCTCATCTTTCTCCCGCGGAGTGGCTGGTAGTTTCGAACTGCTGACCTTAAGGTTCGCAGCCCGATTCGTAACCACTACGCTACCAGAGCTCCTTAAGATACACTATATCCAAGGTATATTCTTGACAAGCAGATGAGATTCAGGATTATATGTCCACAAATCTTAACAGCAATCAAGGACATGAACTCCACAAGCTATGTAGGTTTCACTTCTTACACAGATAGTGACACATAGAGAAGTAATTTACATTAGTGGTTACAGTATCTTAGATACCTTCCCATATAATTGTCTAATGCTTCCAACTCTATAATTCCCTTTCCATATAGACAAATTAGAAAACCTAAAGGTTAAAAGTATTCATGAAATTTTTTTCTCTCTATGCTTCTTGCTTCCACGTCTTCCCACCTCAGATGCTCTTCCTTAAGACGCCTTTCAAATAGCCACTTACAGTGTTAATGGACACATTTACTTTAAAAGGACAGTTCACAGTGACTGGTTTAAAAAAACCCCAATTCACGGTTCAATAATGTTACTTAGTCAGCTAAGGATTCTAAAATTCTAAAAGCAGTGCACATACCAAGTTTACACGTAATTTACATTCTAACAGTTAAGAAAAATAAATTCCAAGAAATATAAGGCTAACAAAAATTTCACCTCCAGGAAATATTCTATACAAAACACACTTATCTCTCGTCATTTGATATTGTTTTTCCAACATTTGTATAAAAACCAGGTTTGTAGTAAATTCTTTACAGGTAGGTGTTTTTTTCTTTTTTGATATTCCTGTGTTTCCCAATAATGTAACACACTTGGGTATTACAATTGTTAGCTGAAAAAGTCTCCTTTGTAGCTCTGCAATATCCCTGGAACAAACACACCTCAAGAGGACTGGCCTCCCCACCAAACTTGACTGTTGGGGTTTGTGTCAGAGGTCTGCCCTGTACAGCTTGGCCAGGTGATGCTGTTGCTATTAGTCAAGGATACCAGATAAAATGATTTCATTCTTCATTATTTCCAAGAGTACCTCCTCTTTGGAAAGCAAGGTATCTTATAGCCTGCCAGTATTGCAAGCATCAACCACCGGTCTCAGGGGTTCGATCTTTAGGGCCTTATATTTTATAACTGGATAGACCAACTAATAAATGCTGACACTGACCATAAATTGTGGTCAGTATTAGCATTAATTTGTCATTCTGGTTTGTAAAGTAAAACAACCAGTGAGTTAGACTTAACCACATTAAAAACAAAATGTGAAGATAGAATCCTAAGTATTTTCTCTTATGGAAACCATATTATGTTTGTTTCTATGAACAAAATATAATTTTGTTTTTAATCTGGGGGTAATAAAAGACCTTTTCAATGATCAGAATAACAATGTGTAACTCATCAAAATCTACCCATAATATTTGGCCATGGCTAGTAATTTCCTTCCTAGACTTTGTTCTAGAAAGAATTTTGTGCTTCTTACAAAATGACAAAATCTAGGAAAACAAAGTGATAAAATAATAGCAGCGGGATCTGAACAAAGAAGATGAAGCCCAAAGTGCTGTTACACAAATTTGACACACAGTTTTTGTTTTGTTTCCAATCAGTTGCATGATTTTTTACATATGTTTAAAAGAGAAAAAATATTTATCATAGGTAGTCAGGTAAGGGTCCAACTAGAAGGCTATCCTTTGCATATGTACATTCAAACTCTTCTAATAAATTCCTTTCATGATTTTTAAAAACAAAACTAGTCTATTAGTACTGAGTCCTAAAAGCAACTTCTCATTGTCCTCATAGGACAGATACTACTTTTAACATGTATCATCTTCAACATCTTCAGAGTCTAGAAACCTTGGCACACAGCCTTAGCATGTATCTTAGCCTTGAATATACTGAAGACTACTGTCCTGAGGGCCTGCAGAGGCAAAACTATGTTGTCTCAAAAGCTGAACTAAAGCAAAATCATCTTTCTTTCTGACATAGGTAAAGAAGGCTATCACTGTTGTTTCTATAATTTTTTATGAAGTAAATGGACTGCTGCTGATAACGCTGGAGGTTTGAGGTGCCTTGGAAGAGAGATGTGTCAATCGTCTGAAAATCAGCCACTGAAACCCTTATGGGGGCATAGTTCCCTGACATACACAGCAGATTACCATGAGTGGAAGTGATCAAACAGCAACTGGTGGAGGTGGTGCAGTGGGTAGGAAGTAAATCTAATATGACGACTGAGACTGAAGAAAAGCCAGCAGCAGTCAGTGGAGAAAGGCATGAAGGACGGGAATATAAGCAAAAGGAAGGGGGTAAAGGCATGAAAAGTTAACAGGAAGCTAGAAAAAAAAGTCTCAAAACAGATGTATACAGAAATTATAACAGTCTACAAGTAGATACTGGGGTGGCGTTGTAGGATCAGCACTGCACTGTGAACCACAAGGTCGACAGTTCAAACCCAGCAGCTGATTAGAACCTCTGTACAGGGTTGCTGTGAGTTGGAACTGACTTGACAGCACTTCGTAACAAGTGGATCCATAGAGAAACAAGTTGAACAGGTGTGGGAAGGCAAATGGGACTACACCCAGGAAAACATGTCTGACAGGCTGTTTCAATATTAGTGTTACAAATGTTTCAAAATACAGGAGAAAACGTCTTAGTCAATAGCCAAACACCCTGAGGGAATTAGTGGAGCTGGGGGCTCAGGTCATGGAAGACATCATGATCAACTGGTATAAATGACAGAGTCAATGTTGTACACTCTATTTTGGTGAGTAGCAACTGTGGTCTTAAATGATTATGAGTAGACATCTAAGGTGCAACAAATGATCTCTCTGTCCAGTGCAAAAAAGACACAAACAAAGACACATGGTAATGATTAGTCCAAAGATGTATGTTGTTGTTGTATGTTATGTGCCGTGGAGTCGGTTCCGACTCATAGCGACCCTGCACAGGGTTTCCGAGGCTGTAAATCTTTACGGGAGCAGAACGCCTCATCTTTCTCCCGCGGAGCCGCTGGTAGTTTCGAACTGCTGACCTTACGGTTCGCAGCCCGATTTGTAACCACTACGCTACCAGAGCCTCTACCCTTCATGACCCTGAAACCAGAACTAGATGGTGCCTGGTTACCGCTCTGAAAAGGATCACACTAGGAGGTCTTGGATGGAGTAGCAGAGAAATGTGGAATAGAACTCAATAAAAGAGAAGACCAAACTTGCTGGGTCTCATAGAGATTGATGGAATCTGAAACTATAGCCCCTCAGACAACCTGGAACTCAACTCACTCAGGTGACTCAGCTTTCAGCTAAGCAAAAGACAGACTGTTAAGCACCACCAGGGAGGTACGCAGTCCTTTAGTGCACAAAAGGGCAAGTATCTACTGAGAGAGAGAGAGAGCTCAGAAGCAAAGAAGCAAAAGGAAATGAGGACAGAAAATACAGGAAGTGGTAAGCGTACTATTACATTGTGGAGATTGCAATCAATGTCACAAAACAAAATGTGTATGAATTGATGAATGGAAAATAAATTTGTAAATTTTCACCCAAATCACACAACTTTATATACAATCCAAAAATATTACAACAAAATCCTAAGAATCTTGATTTAAATAAAAATATCAAGGTATAAAGCTGTTGTTTCAAACCCATCTTTCATCTAGGTCTGAACCCTTCCATAGGCCGTGTTTCCAACTCTCTTAACCCTGACAGGAGACAAACGTGTTGGAAGTACAGCCAGGATACTCATTAGATGCCAGGATGGCGTAACTTTGTCTCTCATACTTCGAATATGTTATCAGGAGGGACCAGTCCCTGGAAGACATCATGTTTGGTAAAGTGGAGGGTCGGTATAAAAGAGGAAGAAGACCCCCAGTGAGATAGACTGGCACAGTGGCAGCAGTAATGGGCTCAAGTGTAATAATTGTGAGGCCAGCATAGGACCCAGCAGTATTTCGTCTGTTGTGCACTGGGTCACTCAAAGTTGGAACTGACTTGACAACTAGCAACAACCACCCTTTGCTGTAGAATTATGTACCCAGATTTGCACCACATCAAAATGGCCGTTTTGACATGCTTGAGGGATTCAAATCGTGTTAGTCAAACTTAAGTTTTAGGAATTAAAAGAAGGGGCAAGATCAGCACTGTAGGGTGGATAGGATAAGGTTTCTCAATAAAATTTTCATAGGCCAGCCCTTGCTTCTCATGAAGACTGAGCAGGTGTACTGTGATGAGGAAAACATTCTTGGGTGCAACTTTCCTATACTTTTTCTCACCAATGCAGTTTTCAACTTTATGAAAACTTCATTACTTATAACCCCCATGATCATACTGTGTCCTTCCAAGAAAATCTATCACGATTATTCCTTTAGAATGCCAAACAATCTTCATAACCTTGTGAGCCGATAACTCGTCTGTAGCCATCCACTGATCAGAGAGATGTTTAAATATAATTTGTCTGGAATAAACTTAGGCAAGAACTAGAGCCATAGTAGAAATACTTTACTTATGTGTGTGTGCTCTACCCACAAAACCCCCCACAGAACATATTAAACAGAAAAAGAATCAGAAGCAAGCCAAGTGTTTCTCGGCTCCCGAAGACCGTGCCTTAGACTGGTAAGTGTGTGCTGCTGGAATA